CAATATGAAGGCCTGCCCAAGGGCCTTGAAACTCCTTGCAGCCCCCCTGGTCACTTTTTCTGTTCAGTTACAGGTTGAGTAAATGTAGTTTACTCAACCTGTAACTGACCTGTAAGCTTTACCAGCATGTAAAGGAATTTTTCTGGGTTGACAGAATTTTCAGTTTTTTAAGTTGATCTTGCTTATACCAGCACTTTTGATGGTCATGAAAATGTAAAACTAAAATGTTCTTTTCATCGATCTTCGAGATTTTTTGTACGATACATACGCAGGGTTCAAACGCTCTTAAATAAAAGAATGTCTAGGACAGCGAATGATTTGAGAAACGCATCTCAATTCTCTCTGACTTTGTACCGACACTGACGATTTTGAGAATGTCTTTGTGTAACGAGCAGCTGTAAGAATCTACCAGTCAGAAAGTCACCGTGGTGTCCGATCGTTTGGATTGTAGTTCACCTAAAAGGTCACTTCAGGTCAAAAAACAATAGAAACACAGTCTACAAGGATGCAACAAAACTACTGTTTACAAATGACAGCATTAAAAATATTGATTCATTTCAGATTAATATTTCACCTTTGAATGGACTTAGATTTTCGAACCGTGCACTGGTATTGTAATGACCAATGTCAATGTGTCCTGTGGACATCTGCGTCTCACTCTGAATGTCAGCAATGTAATAACTGCATTTTATACAAGTCACTCGTCTGATTTTGTTTCATGAAGCAGGGCCTCTCGTCTGACCACTATGTAGCATTTAATATGTAGCACTTGGTTGAGCCTCCCCTCAAGAATCATGGGTAATTTATCCAACCTCTCAGCACCCATATTGATATATATATATATTTATGCTGTTTTAGCAAATATTTCGAAGGATTGTCAACTTTCAGCACCAAGTAAACTATATACAATAACCCCCTTCTGGATTACGACAACGTATGCTGAATCTGTTCAGGCACTGATTGTATTGTTTGAATGTAAATACATTTACAACATGATTTACGTCTTAGTGCACCAACAAAGTAATAGAAGCATGTTTCTTCTGTCTTCACTGTTTCTCGCCCTCCCTCTCTCTTCTTTTACCTCTCTGCATTTGTGATGGTCGACATGTTAAAAATGTAGCGTGCGGTAGGAGGAGCTGCGGACGAGGAATGAGATAGTTTGACATGTAATGTACTCACAGTATGTTGGTGAATTTATTTGTACTTTCTGGGGGAGAACACAGTATTAAAACTATTTAAGAAAATGAATGTGATGTTCATGTATCATTTAAGGACGAGTCCTGCCCTCCATTCTCTTGTTCAGGTGTGTTTGTCTGCAACATGTATTCTTAAGTGTGGGGGCAGCAGTTCATACAGAACACCAGAATGGTGAATTATTCATTTTATTTCCATGATTAAATTTTGCAAGTGATCAACATCACATCATACTGTATAATATAGAGACAGTGTTTATTATAAAATTTAATTACATATAATGCTAATTTCATTTAAAGTAAAGACATACTATGCTGACAGCTTCTTTGTAATCCACATTGGTTAGCAGGCTTGGCCTCGTCACAGCTTGACTATAAAGAACCATCAATGTATTTGTAGGATCAGTTTGAAATAACATTTGACCATTTGATAACAGTTTTATCTCTGCAGTTACTACTCGCAGCTGCAGAAAGCGACTCAATGAATATTGAGGACCAGCAGATTGAATCATCTTGGAGAAATCACTTCCGCATGAAGTGAGAAATGACATCCATGGGCAGAGGGAAGATGATGGTGGAGTTCTTCTCTGCTGCGATGGTGTTGAGAGTCTGCAGGTAGCGAAGCTGCAGCGCTGACGGAGACTCTGCGATCACGAGGGACGCTTCCTTCAGGGCACGTGATGCATTCATCTCACCCTCTGCTGCAATCACCTGTACGTAGAGCAAGGAAGAGAGAGTAGGATGAAATGTTTCTTTACATAATTTCAATTAGGAAGGCCCATTGTTTGTTTTGTTGTTATTTTCTGATACAGCACATGTTTGTGAAACTGTGTGGACTGCATGTGTCATGACACATGTCCTGACCTTGGCTCTGGCCTCTCGGGAAGCCTCTGCCTCAGCAGCCATGGCTCTCTGCAGCTGAACTGGCAGCTTCACATCTTTGATCTCCACACGCTCCACCTTGATGCCCCAGGGGTCTGTGGCTTCATCCAGGCTGGACTGGAAAAAGAGAGACAGAGGTTATACCTGGAGATTAACATAGCTTCCTATCTTGAAGCAGGTCTTGTTATCTGTACCTGCATGCTGTGAGCGATGCCTTCCCGGTCTGACAAGAGCTCTGCCAGGTTTTTCGTCCCCAGAACATTTCTGAGGGTGGTCTGTGCCAGCAGACGGGTGGAAAAGTCAGCGTTCGACACGTTGGCCACGGAGGCGATGGGGTCACTGACCCGGAAGTACACAACTCCATCAACGCATACTGTAACTGAGTCCTTGGTCAAGATCTGGAATAGAAAACAGACAGTTTCTTTGTGTGTTAACCCTGAGGTCATACTTTCACCATGGAGGTTATGTTGTCATGTGCATTTGTTTGTTAGTTAGTGTGAAGGTACATTTAGATCATCCTTCTTTATGTTTGAGTTTGGCATTTGTTCCCATTTGATGTAATTGTTGAGCTTTTACTCAAATAGACTGAGAGTTGTTTGCCTTGCTTGATGTGTGAGACCTGTCATGCTGAATTTGCACTGTGTTCATATCCGTTGCATTGAACAGCTTTTGTCGTCTCCCCTCTTAAAGATGTCCTACTGTTTTTATTACGATCAAACAGGGGGGTGAATGAATGAATGAATTTTGCAAGAGGACTGTCGAGGCCTTGGAAGAGGTGTGCACTTCCTTAGAGCTTAAAGTTTCCGTCCCCACACAGTTTTGTGTTGATGTGGATTGCACCAGCCCTACCTCTTGTGGTGGGATGTCAAATGAAATTGTTCGTAGATCCACCTTCACAAAGGAATCAGTGCACGGCAAAACAAAGAAGATACCTGTGGAAAACATGAATTATTATTAATGCTGTTTGCTGCGTATCACTAATCGTATTAACGGTGATAGAAATCACCACTGTTTCTATACCTGGTCCTTTAGCCTTCCTGTCCGTGATGCGTCCCAGCCTGAAGATGACGGAACGTTCATATTCCTGAACGATCTGTGACATGGACCACAACACAAGCTCAGTTAACATTCACATTCAACCACTGATTTGCAGTCTTTGACCAACTGTAGAGATTTACTGAGTTCACTTACCTTCAGACAAAACCAGATGGTGAAGGGGAAGAGAAGCATGGTGAAGATGCCCGAGAGGATGACAATGAACCAACCAATGCATCCCAGGGAGCCGGTCCGCTCAGCTGGAGGAGGAGAGAAAGGGAGAGAGGGAGAGTGACCAGAAATGAGTTTTAATCAACTGGATGTGTAATGTGACGTATGTTATGACAACACCGGAACACACACACACACACACACACACACACACACACACACACACACACAGACAGTGTAAACACAAAGAAGCTCACAGAGACTCACACGCAGAGCAAACAGTCAAATGTTTACTCATGCAGCCTGATCCTTAGAGTCCTTTTTTTCCACTTTGGTAATAAAAGGAGTCATTAGCTGAGGGAAAGGTTTGTGAATAACTGTGAATCAGTTTTTCCTCTTCACACTCACATTTGATTTCACCTGAGTACCCGGCCATATTACACTGCCAGTACAGGCCTCAGCTTCGCATTTGATCTACTGTGGTTATCATTTCCTTTATTGTCATTTCCTTTGCCCTATGTATTCTGTCCTGTCTGTTTCTTTTTTGTCCAAACCACAAGAACCATTTCCTTTTAACAAACTAAATAATTTAACAGTTCCACTGAACTGAAAGGAAACAGTGTTGCACTTTGTTGCCTTGCAAATGCACATCCACTTATCCATTTAGTGGCACAGATTGGGAGAAGAGAATGGGGAGTTAATGAGAATGATTGTTCCGACCTTCATTACATCTGTCTATACCAATCAGGTTTTATGCGCCTTTTTAAAATTTGAAATAACACATTTTAAAAAGGCACCAAAACTTGATTGGTCAGATGGAAAAATTTAATTCATTTTAACAAATAATAATTTTTATAATCTGTTCACCATCTGTATATATTGTGTCACCTGATTGAAAGCACATGCATGTAAATGATGTGTGCACAGCTGTGCAACACGATCCTGTCCGACAGGTTGATCATAACAAAGACGGAAAAACCATTAGATGGGGAAAAAAAACCTCATATGAAAACAAACACTTATCAGCAAACAAATTAAGGGACATTTACACACAAGCCTCAGTCCTCCTTTTTCTTTTGACTTCACAGAGCATAGACCCACACCAATGACGGGAGATACACACACACAGAAATGACAGAAGACAAACACACTCTCAGTGTCACATGCTTATGAGACTCCTTATCTGGGTGACATGTGATTACTGTCTCTATGACGATGCAGGTTTACTCTGCTCCTGTTGCTCTGGCTGCTTTCCAGCTACACAGGTGAGCTTCCACAACCTATGGCGGCTTATGTAAAACATTCAATTTGAATGACTGTGCTTGTTCAACATGGAGCTCAAAGTTGAACAAACAGATGATCTAAGCCTTTAAAAGCCTGGTTTTTGATATTATTTCACTTTTAAACAACATTTTTACCATTCGACACAAAGTTCAATGTAAAGTTAAAGCTCAGGGAAAAAAAAGTATTTTTTCTTACAGATCAAGTCATCTTTGCTAATTCCTCTTCTCTTCTGGCTTTCTATCTGGTCCTCCATTTCCATGAGTTGTTGGGAAACTGAGTGGTGAAGTGTTTATGCAGAGCATTTGCTGAAGTGCCTCTAATGAGGAAGGAGTCACCCTGCCTTTTAAAGCTGCAATGCTGCAATATAATGTCCTTCAGAGAAAAGCAAATGGGTGTGGCTGTCAACTCTGAGTTGATCATCGACAAAGTACAATCATATTGTTGTAAGGTCACTGGTTAACCTTAGAGTTTCCGGTGTGAATCATGGAAAATCTAAATAAAACCTAATCACCTGTTTAAAACACTGTATAACACATATGATAATATAATAATATTAATGAATCCCAATGGCAAGTATGCATAAAGGCCTTTAATGGTTTTAATCCAATTAATTTTCCAATCATGTTAGTTATTGTACTTTCCCTCATTTCACTTCCTGTTAAAATTAGGAACTTTAAATTTAATTAAACTTTCAAATTAAATTTTACAATTTTTGTAACAGTAAAAATGTTATATGTACTACAGTTGTTAATTTCATTGGTTTAGAATTCATTGTATCTCTATCATGGAAAAATTGGAAAATGAGATCTCATGACTCATTGGCACATGACTGATGGCATCACCAGTGCGTTAGTTGTCAAGGACCCTAAAGATAAGCAGCACAAAGAGCACACAGTGCAGTGTAGTTATTTTGTGGAGAGATGTTTTGATTTTTTTATGTTGATCTCCCTCTTAAAAAACACAAAAGGGTATATACATATATATAGATATACACTTCTGTATTATGGTACACAAACATGTATTCATATTGCCATGTTTCATGCACCCTATATTACACCTTCATTTTTTATTATATGCTCTACACAGTCTGGTGCAGTTTTTTGTGAATCATGTTTTGTCTTGTACAAGCTGATTTCACACAACATAAATAAAACAAGTGTTTGTACTCAAGCCAATAACATAGATGTATACTTTCAATGCAAGCTTATGTAAATATCGATATCTTGCATGGCAGCATTTTACGTGGAGGCCAACTGTTCCTTCTGTTATTGGTCGTATGTCTCTTGCTGTGCACCTCCTGACCACTGCTGCAACTGTGTGTCAGTTATTGTTCAGTAGCCTGACTGGTTTCTCTTCATGTTGCGTGAGACACAGATCAAATCTGAGGAAGCTGCGGTTTCACACGTTATTTTCAAACCGTGTTCATGCAGTGAAGTTTCACTGGAAATCAGAGGTGTGGTAAGTTTTGTTGCAGCACAGTTGTCCTTATTTCCATCTAACATGTTTGTGTTAATCATACATGAGATTTAATGTGCTACACTTCAACTATATTTTATCATAGGATGGTACATTTTGAGTCAATCAACCATTTAGTGATGTTGCAGTCTTGTAGTATACTGTACACATATTAACAGTATGGACAAGATGTATGGTGTTGTCGACCTGAAAAGTCTTTTCCATTTCAATGCTGCCTGCTACTATCAAGTTAAATCTCTGACCGCAAACCTGGATGCTTTCTTTGCTTAAGAACCATTATATGTCCATTATGCTATTTGTTTACGATAATGACCCTTTATTACATTGATATGCAGGTTTTATCTGCACGACTCTGACTTTTTAGATGTGTCTAAGTCACATTTAACTTATATGAGCCTGACATCTATGAAGGTTTATGGCATTACATAGAACAGAGAGACAACAACTACAGCAACCAGCAGTTTACTGACAAATTAATAAAAACAGGAAACACAAAGAGAAAACAAAACAACAGAATGTAACAAACAACCAAAAATATCATTTTTTGTTTGAACCTCGGTGAGTTTGAGGTGTACAGTAAATTAAAAAATTACAGTATTCATTTGCACAGCATTACAGTTAATGCAGTCAGTATACTGTATTATCAGTTCCACATATCATTCAACAAATACTTTAAGATGTTTTCAGTAATCTCTGGATACAGCATGTCTGGTCATATCCTGTAACAACAGCACTATTACTGTCGGATCCGTCAAAAGAAAAACTTTGTAAACATATTAAAAAATCATTCACAGTAAACTGCGGAAAGCCACGAGTGAGTGTTCACTGAAAATAGCACATGAGCTGAGCTGCCAATTGCAGGTTTTGTACACAATACTTCAGCTTTGACACAAAACAAGGGTTTCAAATATGTATGGTGTTCCCGATTTCAAATGTGACTGAAGTCAGCAAAACAGTTAATGTCATAATACAATATTCAATTCAGGGTTCTCAATATCAGTATCATATGGTATCTCTACTGAGAATGAACCTAAAATAATACATGTGAAGTCATTGCATATCATGTACAATTTTCATTTATTCCTAGAATTCATTATTCACTAATAAAAGGTGATAATCATCATTAAAAACAGTCAAGCTAACGTTAAAACCAGTCACAGTCTACATGTAAAAACCTAAAAAACAACTTTGGCAACTGATATTTACAACTGTTCACTATGAATAAAGTAACAAATAAACCCTCTCTCCCCTGTCTCCTCACTATTTCAACTGATTTCAAAGTAGTGTTCCTGGTCGTAGTAAATCATTCTGGCTCCGACACACAGTATCGAAACACTCTTTATCTCATCTACTGCTCTGAAGGGTTCAAGGCCAAAACATAAAACATGGTAGGTCAGTATGTAAGTCTAATCAAGAGTTCCAAAGTGAGTGGTGGGTTTCACTTATTGTGATGGGTTTCACTGCCAGCCCAGCTGGTGGTGCAGACCTGGCTGGAGGGGGAAGGGGTTTCCTGGGCCTGGAGGGTAGTTGGGGAAACTGTTGGGCTGAGGAGGATAGCTCTCTAAACCAGATGAAGGATGAGCCTAGAACAAGAACAATGAAGACAAGACCTTTTGTAAGAGTGAAGCTTTATCAAACTGACATTCAAATACTTAATCTGACAGAGTAGGGTTAGGGGGTGCGTGTATGGCGACACACTGCTACACAGTCTGAGTTTAAACAATTGGAGTGTGAAAATATTGGGAAAGTGACATTTTTGGTGGTTCCTCCTGACATTTTCAGGAGAGGCTGTATGTTCATATTGTATGTGCAAAACAGTTGGTTTCAGACATTGTGTCAAATGTCTTTTCTTTCTAACACTCAAAGATTCACAACTCTCAATCTCCTGCTGCATTCTTCATATGTGAAAGACAAAATCAAGGTCTATGTAATGTATCTAAAAGTGACCTGTGATGCCATGTGCATGTTTACCTGCAACAGGGCCGACTGCATGGCCTGGTTGTGGAGGCCACCGAGCGTAGCAGGGGAGGCAGAGGGAGAGAAGCCTGGTACACCAGGGAAGGACAACAGGCTAGGGAATCCACTGCTTCCCGGAGGCTGGAGTCCACTGCCTAACCTAGAATGCACACAAAAACTTATTTTATAACGTGTTCACATCTGTTACTAAGATCCGTCTTGAGTCATCTAATCGCAAATGGACATATCTGGGACACACAGACTGGCTATAGTTTACTGATATATATACATATATATATATATAAAATGAACCATGAGTCAATTATTTTGTTATTCCTTTTTGCAAATATGTTTTATCTTTGCTGCCACCACCTCTTTAGTCTCTGCTTATGGTTTAAGTATAACATACAATCTATAATTATCTATGTTTATATACAATATTTACAGTATACAATATAATATCTGTACTATCTGTGTTTATTTAATATAAATTGATTGTCTGAGAGTAGATACCACTTCCTGTATTTTACAACAGAAGCTGCAACATAATAACATTTAGGTGCATTATGTTGGTATGTCAATTATCCTATGTGTGTTTATATGATTTTATATTTTATATTCATTATTATTATTTTTGCTTTACTTTAAGCTTTGGGGCTCCTTACAAATTAACATTAGCACCCGTTAATTGAATAGCTCTTCAGAGGAAGACAGTGCCTGAGTTGATGAAATGGCAACATAATGTGAGTCTTGAGCCTGAAACACTTGATCATTAACAAGAAAACTAGACAAATACATGGCTGACAGTTATCACCTGATCAAATGGACATCAACTCTTCAAGACAACACAAGCCAAAGTCTAACCCTAACATTGCACAACGGGAGAACATGTGGACTTCACACTTCACAGGTGCAGTCTTCCCACTTATCAAATACAACCCAAAGTGGAAAAATCACCTGATTTATGATGCTCTTTGGAAAAATCAGTGTCACATGCTATGATGAGCACAGACCCTGTTCTAACTTTGACCTATTGTGATCTAACATTACAAGTGAAGGTATGGCAAAATAGGCTTTAGGTCATGGCTAACTGGCATTAAAGGACACATTTTAAATTCTGCTGGAAGTGAATTGAGTAGAAATTTAATGGAATCATGATTGCTCATTTTAAATTATCCATATGACATGGTTCTGTATAGACAGAACTCTCTGTAACTGCCCATCAAAAGAACTTGACATACCCAGGCTGGAAATTGGAGCTGAAGGCTGATGCGAAACCAGGTAAAACTGGTGATGACGATGGAACCCCAGCTGCTACTGCCGCCGCTGCTGCTGCTGCTGCCTGTAGTGGCGCCACTGATGCTACTGAAGATGGTGTGGCGCCTGGAAGTCCCATGAATGAAGACAATACAGGACTCCCAGCACCATGCCCCCCTGACACACCCAGTCCAGGGTAGGCAGCGGGGCCTGGGAATATAGAAGTGGCAGAGGTGAGGCCTAGACCAAAAGGGGAGGCTACACTGGGGGCAGCGTTGGTAACCAAGCCGGGGAAGATGGAGGTTTGTGGGTGATTAGAAATACTATTGGGGGGCATTGCAGACATAGAGGAAGGGATGGTGGAAGGAGGGAGAGAGGAAGAAAGGGAGGGGAAAGGTGACAGGCCTGGGAAATGAGAGGCAGCTGGACTGGAGGACAGAGCTTGGAGGCCCGTGATAGCAACAGGACTAGGGAGAGAGACTTGAGGGGAACCTGACGGGTGTGACAGACCTAAGGAACGTGCCAGTGCAGCCTGTGCAGAACCTGGGACCACCAAAGAGCTAATAGACGGCGTGCCAGAACGAGAGGTGCCTTTGAAAGCAGAGGGCACAGGGCTGTTACTGCCACTGCTGCTACCCCC